GTGTCCTTTTAAGTAGCACAGTATGTCTGCAATGACCAGAATGCCAAATTGGATTCCTTAATATTAATCTTCTCCACTCTGTACATGGCTCTAGACCTGATTCAAGGAAAATTATCGAGGAAGCGCCTTCTGATCGCCTTTGTTTATCTTATAAGTCATGCAAGCGTATGATGTATCATGCTTATGCTATGTTTTAGGACAACTCGCGATTTATTTTCTATCCAATTGTTATGAAAACCTAAAATACTTTACGTGCAAGATAATAAAAAAGAAGTTTGAACAATTACAGATATAACTTGGTCATTTTTCAGAATTATGCAAATTAGCTTTGACATGTGTGTGATTAAGTAAAGACATTGATTTATGTTGTTTTTAAGATGATGGTGGATGAAAGCTAGAGAGATACCCGCAGGTTTGAAGCAATTGATAACCTCATTGGTGTATAAACTATCCTCTGATATGTTTTTTTAGTCCGATTTACACCTGCATTTTGAGAATTCTTTCTTTTAAATTGGTTAATTTTTTATATGCAAATTAAGGTTGGAGGGTAGGGACTCTTCTGAAAATGCTAGTATGAATAGGATTTCAATTGAAGTTTCCATATTTTGTCTGTGAACTGACTGAATATAGCTTACAACTTGAGGCAAGAGAGAATTCCGTGAACTACACTATTACAGTCGCAGCACGCTCGGCAAAAACTGTGAAATTTACACTTTCGATCATTGTCTACACGGGTGGTCTAGCCAAAAGTCAATTTTCGTTTGTGGCTATGCAAAAAAGAGAATTGGAAAACAAACACTGTATTTTTGAAACATGTGTCCTAAACCCTTTTCATAGGAAAAAAGTTAAGGAAAATTCTTTTGGGATGGGAAGTCGAGAGGACTGCTCTTAGCGGGAGTGGCACTTAAGATTTTAATTATACAGCATTCTTGCACAGTAATGGTAAGAATTGCCAAGCAAGTCAAAGAGCAATGATAATCTTAAGGAATATACCAGTCAGACATGGCAAAGTACTAGGATGGACACAAAAGAAACTTAATTGTCTTTATTACATTAAAACACTATTGCCACTGACCCAAAATGTACTTGTACTTGTACCTGTTGTAGTTCAATTCAGTTATGCTCTGGTTTAATTTTTTCCAAACCAGTTCTTTTTTAACCAGTTAAATTTTTTTTAACCAGTTTTTTTATCAACAGTCTGTAAAAGGGCCTTTTCTTTTTGGGGTGTGGATGAAAAATAGAGGCATGGCTTTTGACGGGGCTCTGAAAAAGAATCAAATGAAAGATGAAAGAGAAGAAAGATGAAGATTTCCCTGCAATTTCTCATCCACTTATTCTCTCTTATAACCTGTCATCCACACAATTTTCCTTGAGAATATAACCTACCCCACCCCACAGAATCTTTTATATTTCCCACCTAATTGACTTCCACTTCACCCCTATAATACTTCTTTTATTCTTTTATATTACTCTTACCACGATTTGAACCACCAACCTCTAGCTTTGCAGACATCCTTTCTCTCCATTAGACCACGGTGCATGTCGTTGACAAACTTGGGGTATCTGTTGGTCTTATCAGTAATTAGCCCCAGACCTCCCTTCCCTCAGCCAAACTTGTTCTTGAAATATTCATAAAGAAAAAAACATGCGCATTTGGCAGAGACCAGGACTTCGAGCTTGAAACATGACTGAACCTTGTGTGCCATGTGTACCAAGAGAAATATTTTACGAACAGTTGAACGCCTTAAAAAACAAACAGGCCAAAAAGGAATCACAGATAACGCTTTTTATAGAGGATTCATTCTTCGATAAAGCAAAAGCCTATCTCAAATACCAGGCTGAGACGCAGCTTGGAATTCAATTCGAAGAACCCATGCTGTCGAAGTGGGAGAAATCAACAGCCATAAGAAAGCAGTGGGCGTATTCTGAAAACTCAATAATAATGCAAAACAAGAAAAAAGTCGTACCCTAAGAGGGAAATTCATAATGTGTTAGCTCTCGCTCACAATTGGACTGCTCATCGGGGTCGACAAATAACTTGTAAATGGATCAGTAACAACTATTCCGAAGTCAATGTGAAATTGGTAGCCATATTTGTTGGTGTGTCCAATTCATGCCGAGCAGCAGTCGGTCACTAGCCGTGTTAAGGTTGTTGATAAACTTATTCAATCTCCGACATTTCTATCTCTTTAAGAGATAGATTTAATGGACTTCCGTAACTGTCCTTGTGATTGTACCGAAAAGCACACATGGGCCATGAACATAACTGACCATCATACTAAGTATGTTTACATAACATCTCTCGACGCCAAGTCTGCCAATGAAGTACTTACCGGATTCAAGCGCTACTGCTACACCTATGGCTTTCCAAAAACAATCCTAACCGACAATGGTAAAGAATTTGCAAACAAAAAGATGGAAACATTTTGTGAAGAAAATGGCATTAAAGTGGCTTGTGGTTCTCCACAAACTCCAACTGCTCAAGGTTTGGTTGAAAGATCAAATAGATCCTGGAAAGAGGATACGAGAGCATTAATAATGAGCATCTCTTCCTCAAGTGTTCAGAAATGGTGTCAAAAAAACATTAGAAGCAGCTTATACTAGAAACATAAGCTACCATCGAGAAATAAAGACGACGCCATATGAGGCTGTTCATGGTATTAGAAGCCACTGAGAAACTGAAAATCATGAGGAACAACCAAGAAAACGCAAAAAAATTACTGAAAATCAGGAAAAGTACAACAACGAAATGGTGAGCCAAAGTCGAAAAAAAACACAACCTAGACAATTTAAAGTTGGAGACATTGTCTCTTTAAAAATTGACCGTGTTGACAAGACATCACCTCTGCTTTCAAATCTTCTTCTGGGAAAAATTGAAGAAATTGTAAACACCTATGCACACGTTGTAACCAAATTTGGTAGAATAAACGCATTAATTTCACCCACCTATTTAAATCCTTGCACAGCTACCACTCAGAACACTGAACTCGATTACACTACTGAGCAGACATTATTTTTCTGCATTGTGCAAGAAAGCTATTTAATCTATTTAAAGAATTTGTCAAGTAATACTTATTATGAGGTTCTGTCAATTCATCATTTCATTTAAAGAAGTAAAAAAGCAATTACTGTGTACCGATACTGGTGTTGTTTGTTTCACTGGCTGGAAAAGCATTGAGTACCATCCCTAACCCTAACCCTAACCCTAACCCTAACCAGCAAAATGAATGCTTAACCCTAATCAGTGAAATGAATGCTTAACCCTGATCAGTAAAATGAGTGCTTAACCCTAATCAGTAAAATTAAACTAGTTCCAAAAAATTAAACTGGTTCAAAAAAATTGAACTGGTTTCGAAAAAATTAAACTAGAGGATAAAATTGAACTACAACATATATAATTGACAGATTCTAAAGCACCTTTTTAATCATTTTCACAAAATTAGTTTTTCAAAAGCTGATTTGTATATTAACTCTTGTTAATTATGTTGTAATGAAACTGAAATGTTGAGGAATCAAGCATTCAGTAATAATTTTACACAAGTGTAGTTTGCTCAATTTTTAGGGAGTTGGACGCTTTTATAAGAAGAATAAGAAACATGTTATAACTACACAAACGGTTGGTGTTGGAATTCAATTTTGAGTTCATACATTATTTTGTGTGTGGTTTGTCTCAAAATTTGTCAATTGTTTTGAAATTATGACTTGGTTTTAAATGACAGGAGCATAAGTGTGTTCTGGATTCTTGCCGCTCGCTTGAAAGTGAAGGATTTGAAGTTACCTACCTGCCAGTAATGAAAAATGGACTTATTGACATGGACGTATGTGAAATGGTGCTTGAAAATCTAGTTGTGATTACTGTGGACCACATAGGGTTCTTTTTGTACTTGTTCAATGTAAAAAAGCTTGGTCTAATATGTTGTGATCAGAAAATTCTTATAAGACACTGGATTTTATTTGATATTGGCCTCCTGCCTTAACTGTTTTACTCCCAGAAGTTATAAAATGTGTAACGTTTCCCTCTTGTATCCATACATTATCCAGTTAGAATATTCAAATTTATCAGGTAGAAGTTGTTGTCTTGATTTAACCTCAAACCCTCATTACTAATTTACAAGGCAATGTGTAGCAGCTGGGAAGGGGGGGGGGAGGATTAACGTGTAGAACTTGGGAGTGTAAAGGCTGAGAAGCAGCTAACATAGAGTTATGTTTTCACACTTTTATGCATGATGTTTATACATCTTGTAGCAACTGGAGGCAGCCATCAGACCCGACACATCTCTAGTCTCAATAATGACAGTCAACAATGAAATTGGAGTCACACAACCTATTGGAGAAATTGGTAAGACTGACCAAAAAATAGAAGATGCAATTCATGCTCACTCAGTCTATTCAAACCATTACTATGACATACACCTGTACTGTGGGACTGTATAATTTAGTGTATGTCCCCCATGAAAGGTTTCAAGTGAGATCTTTGTAATTCAATTGAACTTGCTTGAAATACACAGCAGACTAAATCATGGATGTAAGCTGGTTGTGAAGTCTATCATTCATCTATATACTGCTGTAGGTGTTTTAGAAATAACTTGCCTTTAAAAATTTTCTTCTCACCTTTGCACCATAAACCATAAATGGTAAGTTTGCTTTTCTTCCAGTTCCATGTACCTTTTTTCAATGATTGCTCTTGAAGTACACAATATACAGGTAGATTCAGAAACAATGTGAATTTTTTTTCCAGCATTTTGATGCTAAAGCTGGACGTCTTTAGCTTTAAAACTACTCCCTTAATCTCCTTTGAAATCTTATTTCAAGGAAGAGGCCAAGTGAACTTGACTCTTATTGTTTGATGTCCAATGAAAACCATTTAGCTACACTGTTTAAAGATATCTCAACTATTGATTTCTTTTCTTTTGGTTTTTTTTTTCATTGTTTCTTTGTTGTAGGAATGAAGTCTTCTACTACAATATTCAAAGATCTCCTAATGATGGATTTGTTTCTTTTCATTATATCTTGCAGGATCCCTCTGCCGAAAAAATAAAGTCTTCTTTCACACAGATGCAGCACAAGCAGTTGGTAAGATTCCACTTGATGTGAATGACCTAAAGATTGACTTAATGTCAATTAGTGGCCACAAGATTTATGGACCTAAAGGTAAATATT